GAATAGAATAGAATAGAATAGAATAGAATAGAATAGAATAGAATAGAGAGTGGAATGGAATGGAACAGAATGGAATAGAATAGAGAATGGAATGGAATGGAATGGAATGGAATGGAATGGAATAGAGAATAGAGAATAGAGAATAAGAATAGAATAGACTAGTCCAGCTCTTTGCTCAAACAGGAGAATCTATACCATTATATTTTGGGCAAGGAGTGACTGCAATTTGCCAAAGTTAATTCAAAGGGGATCCTGCGTGGGTCGGGGAGGGGGGAAAGGACCTGGCTGGGGAGGGAGGCTGCTGGCAGTTTGGGGTGCCAAAGTGAGTAAAAGGGAATTTTTGGTGGGAGGGAGATGCCCTCTTTGATCCAACTCAGCCCCCGTTTTGGTTTGCAGAATTTGCCCAGCCCTGTCTGGGGGCTGGGATGTTATTGGGGCCACTTGGTTTTTGCAGTTGTTGTTTTTTTTTATAAAAAAAATCTCTACACTTCGGATAAAAATGCTTTCTTGTACATATAGAGATCTTTGTGGTCCTTTCTGCACCAGAGTTCAGCTAAATTAGAACCATTTAGAGAGAAGCTCAAGAGAAAATCCAAGGATGGTGACTGGGAAATATTGATTGAGAAAAGGCCAAACAAAGGCAGGGCCAAAATAATTTTGGCAGTATTTGAAGCCTGGATTTTTAACATTCCTTCCTTCTTTTCTATCCTCTTCTTTCCCTGAGCTCTTTTCTGTTCCCTTTCCTTCCTTCCTTCTCCTTTTCTCATTCCTTCCAATTCTTTTCCCCTCCCTCCTTCCTCTCTCCCTCTCTTCCAATTTCCTTCCTTCCCATTTCTTATTCTCTTTCTTTCCTCTCTCCCTCCCTATTCCTTCCTTCCCACAATTTCTTCATCCTTCATCCCTTTTTCTTCTCTTCCTTCCTTCCCTCCTTCCCTCCCCCTTTCTTTATCCTCCCTCCCTCCCTGTTTCTTTTCTTCCTTCCTTCCTACCCTACCCTCCTCTTCCTTCACTCTCCCTCCTTCCCTTTTTCTTCTTTTCCTTCCATCCTTCCGTCCCTCCTTCCCTTCCTTCATCATCCCTCCCTCCCTCCTTTTTTCTTCTCTTTTCCTTCCTTCTTCCCTTCCT